AAAAAAAAACATCATNNNGGGTAGAGGGTGAGGGAAGTGGGAAGGGAAGTGAACAGGTGGAGACGAATAGGAAAGAGCTGGGAGGGGAAAAAGAAGGAAGTGGAAGGTGTATTAAGATACTAACAAACAGGATGGAAAAAGCATAGTGGAAGGAAATGTCAACATCAGATAGACTGGCCCTTTTACTTGATAGTCAATCACGACATGACTTGTACATGCATAGTAACCGACGTGTGTCAAAGATTAAGATGAAGAGTAGAGAAAGTAAAACTATATAATGCCACGCTGTTGACCACTTCTGTTGACCATCTCGCCTCATCACCAACCCTCACGCAGCTTCAAAGTTCCAGTGTTGGCATCATGAAGCACACATTCTCTTCACTGGCCGTTCTGGCCCTGGCCCTATCTACTTCAGCCGTTGCCTCCCCAGAACCTCAACTACTGGTGCCGGGACTCATCGACACAGTCGAATGTATTGCTGTGGATGTCATTGCCGAGCTCATCATTGGGGATCCCTTGGCAATTGCCTTTTGCGAGGCCGTTGCGCCTCCTACCAAGAGCGTGATCAAGACCAGCTTCACCACCGTCTCGAGGCCAACTACGGTGACAGTGACAACCACCAACAACAACCGCCGTCCTACCATCACCAGCCGCACCATAGTGTAAGTATACGATTTCTAACATCTCTTACATACGCATCTGTCTGACCATGGAATTGCAGAACAACCACCAGCAGCCTCTGCACTGCCCAACCCTTCCCAACGCCTTTCAAGCGCCGCTATCTCCCTCCCATTCCCAACTGCGTTACTAAGTTCCCTACGCCAGACGTCACCAAGGCTTGCTCGTGCCTGAGTCTCCCGATTCCAACCACGACAATCACCAGAACCGTCACCATCAACCCTGTCGTCACTGAAACCAGAACCGTCGGTCGCACTGGCGTTCTGGACCCGGTCGTTAGGACCAGCACAATCACCAGGACCCAAACAGTGAGAGCCTGCCCTGCGCCAACTCTCTGCGGTAACCAGGGAATCGACTTTGCGTACTACACCAAGACTGTTGGCGGCGAGTTCGCAGACTTCCACCCCGAAGCGTACAAGGTAAGTTGGAATATTTCAAGTGTGCAGTTTATATGGTGCTAATACCACGCTCAAACAACAGCTTCGTCAGCCACGATATCAATCATCCACCAATGTCATCGGCGGCATCAGCTTCCAAGACGGCGCCGACAAGAGCGTCTACGGCTCTCCTCCACTGCCAGAGTCAAACTTTGTCCTCAACCACCGCGGATACATCTACGCCCGCCAGACCGGCACTTACACCTTTACCCTGACCAGGGTCGACGACGCTGCCTTTGTCTGGGTTGGTGCAGCGGCATACTCCGGATGGACTGCTGCCAATGCCAATTTGAAGGTTGTATATAACAACGGACCTGCGCAGGGCACTTACTCTGTGAATCTGCAAGAGGGTCGCTACTACCCATTCCGCATCTTTTACGGCCAGGGACCGCGCACCGCCGAGTTTGACGTCAATGTGAGGGCGCCGGATGGCACCACGTTCTTGTCGTCCAACACGACTGGATCGCCTTACTTGGTCCGGTTCTCGTGCGATGGGTTTTCGACGCCACTATTTGATCCTTTTGGATTCGAGTTTTAAAGGGTGAAATTTTGCATGGTATTTGCGAAGATTGGTCATTTTGGAGGGAAATGTTTATATTCGATCCATTTGTCGTATAACTAGTATATCTTGGGATGGATATAATGGTAATGATTCTGCGATGTGAAGTGGGGGGATGATTTTTTGATTTGGTTCGCTTCTTTCCTTTGGCTGTGGTCTCTGGCTGCAGCTGGAGGCCTTCTTTTACTATACTTGAGTATGAACTCGAAGCTGAAGATATGTTTATTTCCAATTGATCTCCTGGTGATGTCTAGTGGCGTAGATGATTGCCCTTGATTTGCCAGACTCGACTTTTCTTCTGCAGTCAGTAGCAGTGGCTGGTTACAAGTGCCTCAAAAGTGTACAAGAAACTGGATGGCTTGTGGCAAGTCAAATACAGAGTGGTATTATGTATGACTCACTAATCTACCAAAGTGAACAGACGTGACGCAATAACAAAAGGGTATGCAGTTCATGAGAAGCAGCGCGAAGATTCTCACTTCACCTCAAGCCCTCTCATCGTACAGCTCCTCATCCTCCTGCGGCCACTCCACCGGAAACGCCACATCTTTTCTATGCGGATTCACGTCATCAAACATAAACGCAACGATGCTATTGTCCTTGAGCCCGGCTTCTGTCACATTGCCAAACGCATCCTCGCCAACATTCAGCACCTTCCATCCTCGGGAGGGGTCGGTAGGCACCCGGAGAACCCCGTATAGGATATTTGTATTCACGTCTGGTATCGGCGTTTTCTTCTCTGGTGCTGAGCTTGATCTTGTCAGACCGTCGGGGTACCTCTCTCTAAGAGCTCCCAGTAGTTCTTCGGTCAAGGCTGAGAATGTGTCCAGAGCATCAACAAAGAGGAAGATTGTGTGAATGCCGTATTTGAATCGGATAGAGAGTTTCGCATCATCAGCATCAGCGGGCGGCTACCAGATTTAGCATGTGGCAATTCCCGTGTGAGGGGGAAATATACCATTTTGACGTGACCAAATGAGTTTTTCACTCTTTACAACAAAGTATCCTCGGGTTCTGTCAAAGTTGTCTCTTGACCGCGAAGAATAGAGTAAAGCGTGATGTATGTGGTTCATCAAGAGTCAACTGAGATGAGTGACGAAGTGTTGGGCGCGGAGTCACGTGAAAGCGCGTTAAGTGCTTGCCTTGCAGGACAAAATGTAGCGACATGGCACACGGAAAAACTTGCGATACGGGGGGCAGCTTCTTATCCTTATCGGCATTTGATATGCTACTACTTTGTACATAGCTTCATGCAATTCGACAGTTTGGAGATGCAATTGCTGTAGCAGATCGGAACAAATCAACAGCACACGCTCGACTAATCAGAAGAGAACGCCAATTCGCAGAGGCTCCTTTTGCGCCTGGGGACGCCGGGCTCTCGTCTGCAATCGAGGCTTTACGGACATCGAGCTCTTCGTAGCTCATCGCAGCTCGACAGCTTACCGTCACAGAACACAGCAACAGCCATGGCGAGATCCTCCAGCAGCGACGGCATCCTCCTCAGCGCGCCTCGCTCAAGGGCCGCCAATGCCCCTCAGGCCCAGCCCGCGTTCCCAGCCGAGCCGCATCCCCGACTGGCCATCATGACGCCCAGCCGCCTGCTGCTCGGCTCCGTGGCCTCCAGCTTCGTCGGCTTCAGTCTCGGGGCCGTCCAGGGCGGACAGATGGCGCAGCTGCGGTTCCGGGCAGAGCACGCGCACAAGATGCCCGACACGACGGCGGGCTGGTACTTGTACCACAAGTCCAAGAACTATCACGCCATGCAAGGCGGCATCCGCGAGGGGTTCCGCATGGGGCTCAAGACGGGCTTCTGGAGCCTGATGGCCCTGTCGCTGGAGAGCACGGTGGACCGCTATCGGGGCAGCAGCGACATGTTTTCGACGGTCGTGGCGACGCTGACCGTGGCGGGGGCATTTTCACTCTGGCGTGAGTTGTTCCAATTTCTTTTTGTTCTTTCGCCATTCTGGAATCCCTGCTTTGCGTTACGATTTGTTTTCTTCCCACTGGCCTAAAGGTGAATGGAACCAGACTAGTCAGGTCTGGCTTTCACCGGCTGTCAGAGTTAGTTCCCCACGCTTATGATATTGGCTGGCAATCATCGGAATTGAGATCGCGCGGCGCCAAAGGAGAAAAAAAAACGAACAAGCTACAAATAGGCCAGAAGAGGAAATCATGACCGTGGGGACCATTAGCTAACAGAAAGCCGACCATCGGCCGGCACCTGGCTTACAGATCGATTCTCGCTTTCCACCGCTGCGCGCACCGCAAAGTACGGGCTGGTCTTTGGCCTGGCGTACGGAGGGGTCCAGGATCTCGTGGGCTTAGCCCGTGGCAGACCGATTGGGTATGTGGAGCTGATCCGACGTCGGTTTGGGTCTGGGTCACGCGAAGGCGAAAGGAGCGACGACGACGATGGCCATGTCTAGAACCAACCGCCATCCGTAAGCAGCCGCCTTGATACTGCTGGAGTTTCTGATCATCTTGTCTACGAAGTCATGGCTGGATGGGCAACGATGTCAACAGAAGACGAGGCCAAGAGAAGCGACACGAATGCGACGTCATGTATTGCGTGCAGACGAATCAAGACATGTCCGGCACGTCCATTGCCGCCGCTGATCGTGTGCTGCAGTCGATGAGCTCAGCAGCTTTGATGGTGCTTGGACCGAAGCACAGCTCTCATTCCAGCTATGCAGCCATCATACAGCTACGATGCATATACATCTGACCAACCAACGATAAGAGAAGGGGGAAAGTTGGAACTATTGCCGATATCATGGATCGCGGGCTCAGGCGCTATTCTCGCGTGCATTGAAAATACATACTAGCGATGCCATTCGCTGAGATGACGCATAACAAGAGGCCAATTGATGCTTCCTGATGTCATGTACCACCACTCTGTACTACCACCGCATGAATCAGATCACACGTTCACCTGACAATGCCGTGCATCCCTTTGCAGGGCCATCTCTCTTTCACTCGCATTATCTCGCTTGTCATACATGACCCCATAGCCATGTAGCCCTGCTGTATGTGCTACCACCAGCATCAGTATATCCAACTTCGTGCCTGTAATACAGACGAAGCAAGCCGGCACGCTGGGGAAATAGCGTGGGGGGCACCGTAACAATCGAAGGAAAAGAGCAATCAATTAGAAATTAGCGGCACCGGCTCTCCAAGGGTCTGTGGCCTTCCCGCAAAACCCGCAATTTTGGCATCGCCAGTCCCAGCTCCAGCGCCCTTTTAGCATCGCGCCCAGCTCCACGCCGCACGCCGCCTCCAGCTTAGCCCGCGGCTACTCTCGGCTGCATCCCAGCAAATGCCCACGTGATGCGTATCTTCGCCCCCTCTCCTAAACTTACAGGCTTATCTCCCAGCTGCGCGGAGCCCCATCCCCAGCACGGCATATCGAGTTTGATACTGGGCTGGGCTGGGCTGTATCTGGGATGCGTTCCTGCTCCTCCCTGTGCAGCGGCCTGACACGGAGTTTTGTGGAGGAGGCGACCCTTCTTTTTTTTTCTAGGCAGTTCAATTAGATTAGGAACTAGTAGTACATCTCCGCTGTGTTTTGCGTGTAGCGGTACTTGTGTAATCGAAGCTTTGCCCATGCTTTGCCGGCAATCGGAGGACGAGTGACCATCAAACTGAGCTTCTAGCCCTGGACCAGACAAAACGAAACGAGATCTCGCCTCTCTTCGGCCCTCCGTAGCTGCCGGGTGGCTTTTTCGAATCAGGGCCATAGATAGCGTCCTTCGTGCCTGAGCCAAGGCCGGGGAATAAATGTTAATAAAAAGGGACATTCCGTTGTTTTCCATCCTTCGTGTCGAAGCTTTTCTCTCGACTACCTTACTTATATATACCTGCTGACTGTCTTATCTCTCCCCCTCTTCCTCACGAAGCCTTCCTAACATCTTCCTTATCAACTCGTACCTGCATTGAACCTTTGCAGAATAGAACTGAGTCGTATCTCCAGCGGCTCAAACTATATATATACTTGCATTGCGTATTGTTGCGCCACTAAAGCAAGCCTCGTCTTACACCCACCGCGTCAGCCACTTACTTGGAGACCATCAGATCTCACACTCAGATCTGCTTTGCTCTCGAAACCGCAGCACAAACCACACCTGATACAGTGCATCTCTGTCGGTCGGCCTATCATGATCTCCGTCCCAGGTCGACGGGCGATTCGCCTGCCCGGCCGCCGGACTGCCTCCCTCTCTTCCACCTCATCCATTTCCCTGCTCAGAACCTCATCGCTGGCATCACCGACATCATCCTCATGTCTCTTCGCCATGGCAAACACAACAAGAAAGCACCACTCGCGGCGCAGCATCCACTCGTCTGAGCGACGCACCTCCACCGTCGCAGATCTCCCAGGCACATTGCCTCCCATCCCGCCTCAGGACGTGGCCGCCTCCAACCGCGCGCCGCTCTCCGTCCTGCCGCTCAGCATGATCCTCCGATCGCTGGCAACAACCGTGGTCTCGTCTTCGCCCATCCTGCTGCCTCCTTCGTTGCGCATCATGGTGGCGCTCGCCCACGCCAAGAACCCCGTGCTGAATCCGGACATGAACCCCCTTCTGAGATTCTTTTTGAAAAAGTCCTTCTACGCCCAGTTCTGCGCTGGCGAGAATGCTGCCGAGGTGCGGGCTACCATCAGCCGGCTCAAGGACATTGGTTTCACGGGTGTCATTCTGGGCTACGCCAAGGAGGTCGTCTTGGAAAGCAGCGACGCCAAGGACATGGCCAAGGCAAACTTGGGCGAGGAGACGGCAAGGGATATTGAAAAGGAGATTAACCCCTGGAGAGATGGAACTCTGGAGACGGTTCGTCTGGCTGAGCCCGGTGACTTTGTCGCTCTAAAGTAAGCATCTGAATAATTGTTATATATGCATGAACAATTGCTAACAAAACCACCCTTAGGTTTACTGGTGCTGGCAGTCTGGCTCTCCATCAGCTCAAAAACCGACTCCTGCCTTCTCAGCACCTAGGCGAGTCCATTGACGCCATCTGCGAGCTCGCCCGTGACCGAGGCGTGCGCCTCCTTTTCGACGCCGAGCAGGACATGCTGCAGGATGGAATCGACGACTGGACCATGAAGTTTGCCCGCAAGTACAACGACTCGCCTGAAACCGCCACAATCTACGGCACGTACCAGGCATACAAGAAGAACTGCCCCGCCGTGGTATCACGGCATCTGGCCGATGCGCAAAGAGAAGGTTTCACTCTCGGCGTGAAGCTGGTGCGTGGCGCATACCTGGGCTCGGATCCGCGAGAGTGCTTCCACGACACCAAGGAGGACACAGATGCCTGCTACAACAGCATCGCATCGAGCATCCTCGCCAGGCAGTGGTCTGCCACCGTCCAGGGAGAAGGCGAGTTCCCCAACGCACACATCGTCCTGGCCACCCACAACGTCGAGTCCGTACGACGCGCCAGAGCCATCTGCGATGCTGGCGGCGCAAAGTCGGACATTGCCTTTGCCCAGCTCCAGGGCATGGCCGATGAGGTGAGCTGCGAACTGGTCGAGGCCAGCCAATCGGCCCAAAAGGAAAACGCAAACGCTCGACCGCTGCCCGTGTACAAGTACCTCGTCTGGGGCACCACCGGCGAGTGCATGAAGTATCTGCTACGCCGCGCTCAGGAGAACAAGGACGCCGTTCAGCGCACCAGGAACGGAAGAGATGCCATGTGGGGAGAGTTGGTCAGGCGATGCAAGAGCGTCGTCGGTATGGCGTGAGTTTGATAGAGAAACTAGAGCATATGGGTGTATAAAGACGCGATGGGTTTTGGAAAGGAGTTTTTGGCAACATGGGCCTTTTAGTTTTCTGTTTTGTTTTGGATGCCAGCGATAGTTCACACTTTGGAGTCTGGTGATTTTAGCAACACTAAAGGAGAAGTCGGTAGTAGAGTGATTGATAATTAGAGTATCTAGCAAGGTACGATGAGTACATCACGGGAGATAATAGGGAATTGCAGAGATATAAACTTACCTTTTGCGCATTTTGATCCAACTTTTGTTCATTCTTACTCGCATTGTGTTCATTTGTCAAATCCCTTCGTCTAGCCCCTTCGTCTTTTCCTTCCTCCTCTGGCCCAGCCCGCTGAGCTTAAGAAAAGGAGCATACAAGCGTGTCCAGCAAAGAGGCCTGCAGCAATGAAATCGCACTTATGCTCTCCGCTTAATATCCCCATCCATTAGCACTCAGTGAGACCTCTTACAGTCCCCGCAGAGCCATGCCACTGAGGACCAGCTTCTCAATCTCCTCACGCTTGACCACCTCGTCCTTGACAGCGTCTAGCCAGGCTAGACCATTAAGCTTGTAGTTTTTGCGAACGGTCTTGACATCTGCGATACTTGAGATGCTCTCATCGGTGGGGGGCACAATGTCTCCTTCAATGTTGTCCCTTAAGTGTTGGTAAATAGCGTCTGCTGAGGTTGGGACGGGAGTGGTGTCGCTCGGAAAGGTAATCTTGACGACGAAGAGGTCGGTGGTGGATGGTGAGACTCCAAAACGTCGATATGCGTCGGAAATCTACGGTATATGCAAATTAGCTCTCTGAGGGGTTGTCGGTATGATATGAGTGCTTACGTTGTTGGAAGCACTCAGCGACACGACTGTTTCTGAATGCACATTGGGCGTCTTGAGCGCGCCATGGGCTGAACTGTTTACTGCCTTGAATATCGCCGAGAGTAGGTGAACGCGCGAGACAATCTGCTCAAAGTCAGCAATCCCGACTCTAGTCTTCAATCTGCCTTGTCGCCTCTTATGTTTTGCTCGAAAGTGGATCGATGAGCCTCAATGGCACAGCTATGCATCAATGCACAGCACCGAGTCAGGCTTCTAGGCATCGAAACGTACCGTAGAAGCGTCGATAAAGGCATATTCGAAGTCGGCATTTCGCGCGAGCAGCTGCTGGTGCAGGAAGCCCGAGTTGCGGACGTTGCGGAAAAGCGCGAGGTGGATCTTGTAGGACGGCGGCACGTGCTCAAGCACGACTGTTTCGAGAGACATGGCGGGCAAGGCAGAGGAAGCTGAATGGTTGAAGACTGAAGCTGTTGCAAGATTCTGTGTTGTAGCAAAATGGCGATGGTGGGGTTGAAACTTGGTGGGGTGTTTCTCCGTATGAAATGTGGAATTACACTGTAGCTATAGGTATAGCCATGTGAAACTGAAAAGCAGAGAGATGAGCCGAGCCGAGAAAGAATATTTATTGTTTCAATGACTGTCTTTATATGATGTCCCTGAACATATATTCATGTAGTCTCGGATGAGAAGGTACCGGGAAACATGCATATATGTAAAAAGACAATGAGAAGTCCAGATTATGGAAAGCAGGTTGTATGACATGGATGCCAGTAACGTCTCTCGTCTGAATTAATTTGCAAGTTGGCTTGATTTAATATACTTGCGTCTAGAGTCTATGTGATCAAAAGTAGAATAAGGGAATCGATTATTACACTAGCCGTATATATACCATTTGCATCGCCCCAGAGGTTCCGAGTTTTGCTCTTCTCATAAAAGGTGCAAATGCGCAAATTCTACAAAGCAAAGCAATTGCCAATTAGAGATCTGCACATAATTTACAGGATAACAACAACAAGATGAACCGTATTCCATTGCTGAATCTTCTGTCTGTCAAGCATGATAATCGCGGCAGACAGACGGGGTTAAACTTGCCTATTTCGTACAATCCGGCCGCTGTATCTAGGACTAGTAGTCAAGTGGAGTTTGCAATATCTAAGGTACCTAGGACTACCGGGAAACAGATCGGCCCCACGATGCGGGAGATATCCCGAGCATTAACAAACCTTTAGTCTTCCGTAAACCTTGACCTACACCAAGTGACCATCCAAAAGTCTTCTTGTTCTTATAAGAAGTCAAGTCCTACTCCAATTCTCTAGCTGCGCCCAGCCACAAACTTTCAGGTAGCATCGAGTCATCGGCCAGAGCCAAATCCGGCGCCGTGGTTGGACGATGAAGCCTCGCAGGCGGCACGCAAGGCATCCTTCCAAGGCAGCCACATGCAAGCTGCGCGAGCCAGCCAATGTGCGGCCAAGACGTATATAAACGGCAGAATGATGCGCATTGCAAAAAGCATGTGGATTTGTTGAGCCGCACAATTGCTGTTTATCTCTGGCAACAAGGTGCAATTCCAACGCGTCTTGACTTTCCTCCATTCATCCATTCATCCATTCATTCACCGCCCAGCATGCGCTTCAGCGACATCACAGACATTGACGGCGAGGCAATCTCCGACTTTGCCTGGAAGTGGCGCTGCAAAATCTTTCCCGTCAAAGAGGCAGCCTTCTCCAAGAGAGCCGCCAAGAAGGGCAAAGATGGCGTCGCAGCCGATGGAGCTGATGGCAACGACAAAGACCCCAATTTCGGTGCCAGCCCCATCATCAAGACCCTCTACGACAAAAACACTTCAGACCTCCACTCGCGCCACGAATGGGTCGATTATCCGCCCAAGCAAATGTCCAAATCGGCTGCTCGGGCTCAAGACCGCGTCGCCATCAAAGTGTACAAGGTCAGAGACCACCGCAAGCCCTGCATCTCAGGACGCGTGCCCCTCAAGTATTTCAAGATTGAGATCCAGAATCCTACGCTGGTTGCTGCGCTGGCGCCGATTGTGAAGAAGGAAAACTGCCATCTTGATGTTAATGAGGCTGCCAGCTTTGAGGAGCCCTTTCGCAGCCTTTGGTTCTGCCAGGATGACATCAAGGAGCTGCACAAGAAGACGGATGCCTCTGAGCCGCTGAAGTCATATCTGAAGCTCTTCATCCAAGTTCTTGACGATCTATTCCGCGAAATGATGATCAAGAGGCGAAACATCCAGACAAGTCGCCTAGTTGACTTTAGAACAGCCTGGACACTGTTCCCAAGAGGCTCAACCGTATACAGCTTTGGAATCAATGCTGAATTCCTCGCCAAAGTTGAAAGCACAGACTACGTCAGCTCAGCTTCGGGAAACGCACTGCAAATTAAAGTCAAGATTCTCAAATTCAACGGCGAAAAGTTTGTCTGGCAAGAGCGAGTCCTCCCAATCGGAGAATTTGATGGCAACAAGCCGGTTCTCGAGCTTGGACACTATCCACTAGATTTCCATCAAGACGCTGAAGACATCAAACGACGTCTGACCGTTCGCGGCCGCAAAGTGCTTGATCTGCAAGGCCTCGAGTATCGCTTATACAACGGAATCGCGCTGTATGATGGCCGCGGCTGCATCGAGAAGCACAATGTCGAGGGTCGCATTCTCCTCGATGCTGTTGGGTATAACAAATATCACCTAACTCAAGGCAAGAGAGAAAATGATAAGCAGGCGCATGTGAATAATGACCAGAGGAGATGGGGTTTATATGACACGGACTCGAGCTCGAGTTCTGATTCCGATACGGACTTGCTGGACAATGAATCGGAGAAACGGGCTGCTGTCCGACGACTAGGAGAAAAGGATTTTCAGAAGAATAAGCAGTATATGGAGTCGCGAGCAGAGGACATTTGCTTTATTTCTGCAATGCTCGGCGGATATGCCTTGAAGAACAAGATGTGGAGTAAGTGATGATATTCTCAAACAGCCAGCGATTTTAGCTAACGATGGATCCAAAGTGGAATTTTACATCGAAGACGTCGAACCCATGATCTGGAACGACACGGCGTATTCACACCTCGTCTACGACGACCAGCAAAAAGACCTCGTCCTCTCCTTTGTCCAAAACCACAACCCCCACCCCCTCACCTCAGCCTCCAAAGCATCTTCATCCGCCCTGACAGTGTCAAACTCCCGTCCCACGCCCCTCGAAGACGTCATCGTCGGCAAAGGCCAAGGTCTCATCATCCTCCTCTCCGGCCCCCCCGGCACCGGCAAGACCCTCACGGCAGAAGCCGTCGCCGACCGCACGCACCGGCCTCTCTTCTACCTCCAGGCAGAGGACCTCGGCATCAGCGCCTCAGATCTCGGCGCCAACATCAAGCGGGTGTTTGAAATGGCCACGGACTGGAACGCCGTGATCCTGCTGGACGAGGCGGACGTCTTCATGGCCGAGCGCAATCCCAACGACATTCGCCGCAACGAGCTGGTCAGCATCTTTCTGCGAGAGCTGGAATACTTTCGTGGCATCATCTTCCTCACTACGAATCTCTATCACACCATCGATGCAGCTTTCCGTAGTAGAGTCAGCTTGCATCTTCTCTTCCAGTCGCTTAGCAGGGACGCGCGCGAGACTGTCTGGCGTAAATTCCTGCAGCGAATACCAGAATTGAAAACCCTTGGTCTGACGCAAGATGAAGAGATAGATGAGGACGTCCCTGCGAAAGACGTAGCATTAGATACACCACTTGGAGAAGCTGACATCTACCAACTGTCCCTGTGGCAGCTCAATGGCCGAGAGATTAAGAATGCGGTGCGCATGGTGCAGAGCTGGTGCGGCCACAAGGAATATGCAATGACGCTGGATAGGCTGGAGAGTGGAATAAAAGTGACGAATCCGCATGCGTCTAAGGAGCATGATGTCGATGGGGACTTGTACGATTAGATGGCACAGTTGACTTACACGGTCTTAGCACAAGTCATCACCTTGATTTTCAATCTTGGTTGCAGCAGTACGAGCTCGTATATGCGGAAGATTAAGTAAACTAGTTTCATTGATACATATCGGTCCATTTCATTCAATATATTTCTCTCTCAAATTGTCACCTGTTACGTCGGTAGTTGCCCATCCTCTCAACCTCAACTCAACTCCCGCATCCCGCTCCAACTTCCCCTCCCAGAAAGTGCAACCATCCCACATCCAGTAGCAAACTCCGTTTAATTCAAAAGGCCCCATTCCTCCATGACGTTGTATCCAATGTGAAAATTGATAGATGGTGTTGATCCAAAGTAAAGTCGGAGACAGTCCTGATCCCAAGAGCGCGCCGCATCTCCGATATCGGGCCTGCCGAAATGGTTGCTTTTGGAGTATAAGAGCATCTCCAACTTTCGACGGGAACCAAAAGAACCGTCTTATATGTCATTGGTCAGCGCTATCTGCCCTCGAAACCAACAAAACCTAAAGCAAAACATTCACTTCATATCTCATCGCATGTCCTTCACTTCTCGTTCCATTCTCATATCCTCATCCATACTCAAAAACACCAGAAACATCCACATCATGTCCAAAACCGAGGGCGCCACTTACACGCACGGCCACCACGCCTCCGTCCTGCGCTCCCACACCTGGCGCACCGCCGCAAACTCCGCCGCCTACCTGCTCCCCCATCTCAAGCCGTCCATGAAAGTCCTCGACGTCGGCTGCGGCCCAGGCACCATCACCGTCGACCTGGCCGCCAATCATCTCTCTGAGGGCCACATCACAGGCCTGGAGAATGCCGCCGCAGTGCTAGTCCAGGCCCGCGAGCTCGCCAAGGAAAAGGGCGTCACAAACGTCGACTTCGTCGAGGGCGATGCCAACGCGCTGCACTTCGCCGACGAGACGTTCGACGTCGTTGTCTGCCACCAGGTGCTCCAGCACGTCAAGGACCCCGTCAACATCCTGCGCGAGATGCGCCGCGTGGCCAAGACGGGCGGCATCGTCGCCGCGCGCGAGTCCGACTTTGGCGGCTTCATCTGGTATCCCGCCGTCGACGGCATGCAGGACTGGCTGGCCTTTTACTCGGCCAACGCGCGGAGCAACGGCGGCGAGCCCAATGCCGGCCGCATGATCCACGCCTGGGCCAAGAAGGCCGGATTCTCACCAGATGCCGTGACGAGCGGCTCCAGTACGTGGTGCTACAGCTCAAAGGAGGAGGTTGCGTGGTGGAGCGGCCTGTGGGCGGAGAGGACCGTGGCGTCGTCGTTTGCCAAGACGGCGATTGAGAATGGCACGGGCACGCAGGAGAGGCTGGACAAGGCGGCGGCGGCGTGGAGGAGCTGGGGCAGTGAGGAGGAGGCGTGGTTTTCTGTTCTTCATGGCGAGATTATCTGTCGAAAGTAGTGATAGATCGTGAAGAGGTGGAATAATAATAAGCAATAATGAGAAATGGGGCATGCCGATACAGGCACCGCTATAAACCTGATGTCAGTTCATCGGTAACACAAGATCTCACAATATCACAATGAAGAGCAACAGCGTAACAGCTCATATGAGATAGAACTAAGGTACTGAGCAGCTCATTCATCTTACATCATTTTCCGTCTATTTAACCGTCTTCATCACTAGTCTGCTCGTTGATACGATCAGTCTGGATTCAAATTCCAAATGAGCCACGGCTTTTACCCTGTTAAACCGCCTGCGCCTATTCCTTCCGAGAGGAAATATTAACCTGCCGTCCTCATAATCATAATACACAAATCGCATTCCCTCATCCAAGATGTCTAATATACATCGTACGCGCATCACTTCTTAAGCCGTTTACCGTACGTTCTAGGCCTCTTTCCAAACTTCTTTCCGTCAGAAACGCTGTCGACCGTGGGTCTTGGCAGCCGAGAAAGAAATAGCTCGGTTTGCTGCGTCGCCATACTCTTAAGAGGCGCCTCAGCACCCGCATTCTCCTTTGAGCTATCCGTAGGTCCGCCAAGTCGTGGGACTCGCGGTGTGTTGGCAGAGAAAAAACCCGCCTTTAGTCCTGTGGAATCAGAGTTGCGTCGCATGAACTTGACTGGAATGAGCGACTTTGGTGCTTTGGTGTCCGCTGCAAACGATACTCTGCGCTTTCTTACACTTGCCGGCCGCTCTTCTCGAGCCTCTGGTTGGGGTTCTTCCAGGGGCTCTTCCACTGCTTCTTCCATGGGGTCCGATAAGAGGTCTGCTATGAGATCATCTATAGAGCCTTCCATGACAACGTCAGAATCTGTGCGTCTTCGTTTAGCTACGCGCTCCTCTGTCTCCTTAGCTTCCGCTGGCGCTGGCTCTGCAAGCGTCTCGGCCGACTCCACGGTGGTTGATGCCTTTGGTGGTCTGCCACGTTTCTTCGTTGAAGCCGTAACAGGCGCAAGAATCAGAGGGAAAGGCTTATCCATGGCTGAAGACTTTGGCCTGCCCCGTTTCTTTGCAGGTGTCACTTCTATCTCCCAGATATCTGGGACCGGCTTGGCCCCCAGATTCTTATCCAGAGCCATGCCCTCTGCTGGGTCTTCCATATGCTCAGTACTCGAGCCTTGTGGCTCAGCCTCCTCGATATTCGCAGCAATCTCTGGGTCCGTAGCTGTATTCAAAACTCCGCTCTTAGGCGGTCTACCTCTGCCTCGTTTCTGGCCAGGTGCTATGAATGGAGAGGCATCTTGTTCTTCCAATACTTCATCGTGTCCAAAAGGTTTTTTTCGCTCCATGGTTTCCGCGGTAGATGGTACGACATCTGCAGTGGTTGATATTTCAGATTCTGCCTGCAGTTCTGGTATAGCAGCTGCTTCGGGAGCAATCGCCGATACTGCGTCGCTTTTCCGTGGCCGTCCTCTTCTGCCCGTAGTTGGCGTTACGGTTGGCGTTTCGACAATATATGGCTGGGGTTCAGTCGTGGGCACCTGAGCCGTGTCGCTTTTCCGTGGCCGTCCTCGTTTACCCGGGGCTGGTGCTAATGTTGATGTTGGCACTGCTGTTTCGGTAGCGGATAGTGCATGTTCGTCGGTAAGATTTCGCGGTGTGCTCATCACCTCGCTCTTTCGCGGCCGCCCTCTTCTGCCCGGCGCCGGCGTTGGGTTTGCCGCTTCGGTGGCGGTCGAAGTGTGCTCACCAGTGGGTTCGTGTGCTGTATCAACCACTTCGCTCTTTCTGGGTCGTCCTCTTTTGCTCAGAGATGGGGTTGAAGCTGATGTTTCAGCTACAGGTGGCTGAGATGGGTCAGTTGGCGCCTGCATTGCGTCTACCAGAGTGTTCCGTCGAGGCCGTCCTCTTTTGCCAGCAGTTGATGTTGTAGTTGGAGTCTCTTCTGCAGGTAAATCGGTCTCCCCTGCGTGTGCCTGTGATTTGTCTTCCACTCCACTCTTGCGAGGCCGGCCTCGTTTGCCTGTTGCAGGTCTCGTAGCTGGTGTTTCTTCTGCGGGTATATCGATGACTTTGGTGTGCGCTTGTGACTGATTTTCTGCCTCACTTTTCCGGGGCCGGCCTCGTTTGCCTGCAGCTGGAGTTGCAGCTGGAGTCGCTTCTGCGGGTATGTCGGATTCTTCCATGTGCACTTGTGGTTTGTCTTCCACTTCACTCTTCCGAGGTCGTCCTCGTTTGCCTGCAGATGTCGCTATTGCTTCTTCTAGGGGTATATGGGATCCTTTGGTGTGTATTTGGGGGGTGTTTTCCACATTACTCTTCCGAGGCCGGCCTCGTTTGCCCGGGGCTGCTGCAGCTATTGCTTCTTCTAGGGGTATATCGGATTTCTCGATGAGTATTTGAGGCTGGTCTTCCACTTCGCTCCTCCGAGGTCGTCCTCTCTTGCCTGCAGCAGGTGTCATAACTGGTGCTTCATCCATGGGTTGATCGAACTCTTCCATCTGCGCTTGTGGTTTGTCTTCCATTTCACTCTTCCGGGTTCGTCTTCTTGTGCCTGCAGCAGGTGTTGCAGTTGGTGCTTCGTCTACGGGTATATCGGATTCTTGAGGGAGTATTTGTGACTGGTCTTCCACTTCACTCTTCCGGGGCCGGCCTCGTTTGCCTGTAGCAGGCGTCGACTCACTAGTCGCCTCAGGAGCTGCCAACTTTGGCGGCCGACCTGCTCCTCGCTTCGTTGATGATGCTGTCGTCAGCTCTGCAATCTCGCTCTTACGCGGTCGGCCACGTCTTCTAGCAGCCGGTGTCTCTTCAGCTTTGTTGCCCTCAGCACCATCAACCACTGCCTCCTCCACCACTGCCTCCTCTACCACTACCTCTTCTACCACCACCTCTTCTGTCACCTCATCTTCTTCAACGACAACCTTTTCGCGTAAAGCCAACTCAGCCTCCGGCACCAAATCTGGCAGCTCTGCTGCTGTATCGCTTTTCCGTGGACGCCCAGCTTTTCTCGGAGCAGGAGATGGGGACGGCTCTCTGCTTTCATCCTCATCCATCTCATCCTCACCAATCGTAGGTCGCTCATCAAATTCCGCCATGAGCTGTTGCTGTACCTCAGTATCCGGTAAAGGTTCTTCACCAACAACATCCTCGGGTTCGCAGTCGTCATGCTGTTCATGGGCATCGGCCAAGAAATTTTCCTCCATCTCGCTATGATCGGTCTCTTCTGCGCTGATAGAAGGAGATTCCGAATCAGGAGGCGTCAGTTGTGCTGCTTGCGAGTGAAGCGCCTGCATATTCACATCCATCTGGCTTTGCGCCGCCAGCTCATTGTTGCGCAGCACTTCATTCACAACCTGGCTTGCCGTCATGGTGCCTCTCGTTTCATCCATTTCCGCAGGCACATTCAGTAGAGAGTAGATGGGATCATGTAGATTGGAATCCCTCATAAGCGCAGCTTGCTCCTCGAATCCAGCCACGGTGTCTGAGACGCGGCCTCTGGTTGGCGGCTCCATGTCATAGTCGTTTGTGACATTTGCTTCCGAAAACTGTGCGCCGCGGTCGTGATCCTCCATGAGCCCTCGAAACGATTCCGCCGGCTCTTCTTGGGCGATGGCTGAATACTGAGACTGAGGCGAGGACCGGCTCTCAGTGTAATTTGCCACCTCGGCTGGCTCATTCACTCCCATGCCGTCCTCATAGTCATAGCCCAGCTTTGCCTGCAGTGCCTGGGTAGCCAGACTCGCAATGACCGCCGCATCCTCAGTGTCCAGCCCGTCATTCATCTGCCAGTAGTCCGCGAGGGGTGACTGCTCGTCCAGGGGGTTGAAGTCCATCGTATAAGTGTAGCGGGGGATGCTGTCGCCCCTCGCCATTAGACGTAGAAAGACGCTGATGCCGTCATAAAGGCCGAGACGTCAGCCGGCAGATGCACAAGAGGTTGCGACGGATGACAAAGGCATAGAAATGCATGCGCCTCGCTGAAACATGGATTTTTTGCCGGAGCCTCGAGCCGCGTAAATTAAATGTGAACGCGTGTTTAGATGTTACGGGGCCGAGGGGACGCGCCCCTTGGAAGCGATGCTATCGTCACGTGATCTTCAGTGACGTCGCCGCTATCAGGCCATCACAGCGGCCTAAGCAGTCGCCTATAGCAGAAAATCCTGGTTTCTCATGAATCGTGTTATTTATTGTGGTTTCACAAGTCTGAGAGATTTTAATCATTTATGCCTAGGTACTCTAATATCGAGAAGTGCTTATTGCTGATTTGGAAAAGACAGCTTCGTTGCAGCTTGAGCTAGGTATTTGTTGCAACTTTGAAGGCATTAAAATGACTGACTGACAGTTCAACTCGTCACAACTTCCAATACAACATGAATATGTGCCATAAAGTGATCAAGCAGCAAAGATCTCCGCAGCATAGCGCGCCTTCTCAAACCGCTTAAACCACTCCTGCGGCGTAAAACTCTTCGAGGTCGCATCCTGCTCCGCCATATACACCAATTTCATCACCGCCTCCTTCACCCCCGACGCCATCCTCACTCCCCCACACACGTAAATCTTTGCGCCGGCATTCCAAAGCCGCAGAAACGCCTGTTTTTCCGCCAGTAAACTTTCCTGGACGTATCCTTTCCTAGTGCTGGGCTGGGAGCCAGCGTCTTCCTCTCTGCTGTAGGCGCGGAACACCTGCACGACGCCAGAATCCTCGAAATAGTCGAGCTCATGGTGGTACAAATCGTCATCCGATGATCGGCATCCGAAAAAGAGCGCGGCGGGCGCGAGCTCGGTTCCATTCTGTTGCTGGGAAGCACGCTCTTGGATGAATCCCCTAAATGGTGCAACGCCCGCCCCTGCGGCGACCATGATGATTGGCACTTTGGAAACATCGGCGGGCATTTGGAAGATGTTTTTGACCGGGCGAGTAGCCACATGGATCAAATCCCCCGGTGTTAGATTGGCAAGATAGTTGGAAGCCACACCGAGAAAACTCTTCGTTCTCGGCGGAGTAGGCGGCTCGTCTAATATCGAAAACGTCAAGCTGGCGTGATTCGGCTCCCACGACGGCGAAGATGAGATAGAGTATGTCCGCAGGCGGAGAGATGGCAAAAGGGCTATAAAGGTTCCAAAGGCGAGGGGAATGTCTGCGAACTCCTCCAGCAAGTCAAGCAATGAGACTCTGTTTTCGTGGATGCCCTCTGCGTACGACGCCGTAGCTAAATTGCTCAATAGGTGTTTCGTCTTCTGATCAGTAGCTGCCGCTGCAAGGACTCGAATATCCTATCTATTGTTAGTTTGAACTATAAAAGGGAAAGAAAGATGTAAAAATATACTCTTGGTGTGGCTGGTTGAGACAGCTCAAAATATGAACTCAGCAGCTCGTGCGCCGTCATCGACGTTTCAACCGGTATATGAGCATATTGCTCCCCCGAAGCCCGCACAACAGTATCCCAAGCCAAGCGGAAACGTGACAGAACCCTCTTGACGTCCCTCGGTGGGTTTACAGGAAGAACAAGAAGGTGGTCGCCAGGATGATATGACACCCCCGGAGGCAGCTTCATATCCAAGTGCATCTTCTTCCCAAGGGCAGCTTCCGTGGTCAAGCTCCGTGATTCCGTCACCGTTGCCTGCACCAACTGGGAATACTGCCTCAGTTGTCGTGGCTGAGAGACTTCAAGCTTAAGCAGCGAGTTGATCAGTCGAGTTTCCCCATCATCGTCTCTTCCTCCCTCGTTCTGCGAAATTGCCGGCCAAACGACATCAGTGGTCCATTTCTCCAGCTCTACAAAGAGATCCATTACTGCGGCGTCTGCGAGGCCCCTATCAGCAAATCTGTCTGCTCCGGCCTTTTCGAGGAGATCGTCAATCAAGATGGGAATCCGCTGAAACGTCGCCACCCAGTCGCGATGTCCACAGCCAAACACCGTGTACGAAACCCCTTTCAAAGATTCTGGCTCAGCTTTGTTCAGCCATTCAAAAAATTCCACAGCGTTATCCGAGGGCGAGCCATCGTAAGAAGCAGCAAGGATGATCACAGGCTCGGATTTCGGGAGGTCGTTGCAGGCTGCGTTCATTGGCGCAATCTTTCTTGCGTAGAATCCATGAAGAGCAGCGTCTGATGCCAGTCTGTACGCCAAAGCCTCGCAAGTACCGCTGTTTGATCCATAGAGAATCGTCAGTGGTTTTTTATCGCCTTTGTCAGCCTGAGCCGATGACATTGACACGGCAGAGTCCGACCTGACGCCTTTTGCTTGCGTGCCTAATGACTGCAGCTCAGACTGAAAATCTGTTGCGTTTCCACCGCGCCTGAGTTTCGCCTTGACTCTAAAATTTTCTGGTTTGATCGTCAACGTTTCTCTAATTTGGAGCTCGTACGCCGGGTCTGCCATCTCCAATACGAAATTTTGGAGAAGCATCGCAATGATTAGAAGCGCTTCCTGAGTTGCAAATGCCCTCCCGATGCATCCTCTCATCCCGTTGCCAAATGGCTTCCACGAATTGGGCGGCAGCTTGTTGAAACTTTCATCCAACATTCTTTCCGGTTTGAACTCAGCAGCGTCTTCGCCGTAGACGCCCTTCTCTTGATGCAGCAAGGACAGTATGACCGTAACGGAGACATTTGCTGGGATCAAGTACTTGCCGCCAATCACCTCATCTTTGTCTGAGCCCAGAATGAAGCCAGGAGCCGTAGGCTGAAGACGCAGAGTCTCTTTAAGGGCCGCGTTAAGATACGGTAGTTTGGAAAGATGCTGTACTGTAATTGGCTCGCCTCCAGTTACCTCGTCAACTTCCTGGCGTGCCTTTTCCAATGCCCGAGGATTTGTCAGTAAGTAGTAGAAAGTAAACGATAACAATCCAGCCGTAGTTTCATGTCCGGCGATGAGGAATGTTATCATATTATCTATGATGGAGTCGTCGTCCAAGCCCTCGCCGGTGTTGGGGTCGCGGCCGTCTAGAAGCGCACTCAGAAGATCGTGGAATTGCGATCCCTTCTGCTGTTTTCTTTCCTGTATAATTTTCCGGCACAGTCCTCTCATATAGGCCGTATCTTTCTCATATCGGTGCTGCGATCTCTTTCGGAGAGAATTGACGAAATGCGGTAGGGATGCCTGGGTGCTGGACTCTTTCAATATCCTCACCATACTATGGACGAACGGGTGCAGCACCACTCCATTGTGAAAACTGTTGAATCTGTATCCCATTGAACACAGGGCTATCGTATCGAGGGCGAGACGAGTGAAGTCTGAGGTCACATCAATAACATACTCTTCGCCGTAGCGAGCCCTAGCTCTCAGTCAGTCCTGTCAAGCACCAGGAATCAAGTCAAAAAGCTAACCATTTAAGACACAGCTGCTGCGCAAGATCCTTCATCTCTGGAAACATGTCCCGAATCTTGATGGTCCCGAAAACGGGCATCAAGATCCGATGGGCGACTTGCCAATTGCGCTCATCGTTCCTCGCAGTAAAGAGCCCATCGTGAACGACGTAGCGCAGCTTGTCCAGCTCGGCTGCTACCACTTTGTGGAATCTAGACTCATCGCAAAGTTCAGTCACAAGCTCGGCGCTTGCCACGAATATGAACAGTTCGCCTCCGATTGAAAATTGACATATCGGTCCCAACGGCTCGATAATCTCAATCAGAGAGGCCAGCGGATATTCAAAGTCGATTTTGTGCAGTATTCCGATTACCGGGAGGCCTTGTACAAATGCACATCAGCAAAACCCTTTCTTCTAAATGACTGATTATATATATTGTTGAGTTGGGATGTAGATACCTTTGGGCTTTGGAATTTCGACGAGGTTCAATCCGTTCACAGTCCTTGTTTGGCGTTCACTCTCGCGTCTCTGCGGGGGTTCGTTTGCTTTGTTAGTGCCCAGCTCTGGTACGTCATCTCCATATTGGCCCTTCAGTTTCGTCCTCAGTCTTTGAGTATATCCCATTTTCTATGAAAGAATATTTTAAAAAAGCAAAAGAGCGGTTTGATGTTTCCGTTCGGCCCGCAGCATTTTGTTGGACAAACAAGTTGCAAGTTGAGAGCCAGGCCAGGTTGTTCTAATAGAAGTAGCTTCATGTTCTATGCGCTACCCTATGTATGTAAGACATTTGCCCATCAGCACTTATTTCAGCCACATGCATCCTTCTGTAAATTCTCCCAAACAACTGGTAAAGCTTAGAATTAGAGCTTACACCGCGGCGATGCCACACGCGGCACGTTTGCCGTTGATGGATCCCGCGGACTCCGTTTAAACAGACTACAGCGATCTTTCACCATTCAAGACAGGCACATATCCCTGATTAATTCAACATCACGCCACGCCTTCAAATGCATCATGTACCTATACGGTAATTAGATCGAATGTAGCCAGCGACGAGGCTCCTGAACTGGCTAAGTTTTCGTATCTCATGTAATCATTAATTGAGTGAGCCAGTCCCAAACCTTATATCAGCTCTAGCTCATTTCGACCTGATCCTACTAAGCTCATCTTTTAGCTACATACCTAGGTACTTGTATGCAACTGATGGTTCAGAACTTGATGTATATACTAGATAAATGTAGAGAGCGAATAGCAGTTGGCGGAATACTCAGAGAATAGTGGAGGGCTTTGGTCACGACCATCCAGGTCATGGGTTGTCGAAAGAAGTCAGAACCATTTGTCAACAAAGGCGTTCTTCCTTCACCGAAGCCTATGCTGTTGTCAGTTATATTAATCTGACAACTTCTTTTTCTCGTAATTTTCTCTGTCGCGAGGCCTCTTTATACGCACATTGGCGTATTCCACTCGCGCCACTAAGCCACAGGCCGTGCAGACGGTGTGTGGCCAGTGCCAACGACGAACCATAGGCAGGCGGCTCTCGTTGGAGTCACATTTGATAAACAGAATTAATTGCAGAACACAGCTAGTGCATCAGAATCACCGTCGTAAATGGCCAATTTTCTTAGAAATAATTTCCGTCCAAGATATTCAAAGCGGACAGTGAACGGCGAAAACATGAAAACACAAAACAATGTTCCGTATAATTGCCGTCATGAGCTCAGCGCCGAGAGAACTGCTATATAAAGGCTATGGGTGAAATATTATATTGTGCTTTCAAACAATCACAATTAAATCTTCTGTAATTTCACAAACATTTGAATGCTTGCAAGCTCACCATGATACCAGCCATTCTACCACTGTTGATCTCCCTAACAGCGCTGGGGTCCACTGCACTCGCAAAAACAGACCAGAAACTGCTTGGGCCATCCTTCACACCTCCATCCAACATTCTTTCAAGCAACGTTATTCAACAAGCAGTTTTGAACATTACAAACGCACTGAACAACGTGGTTCGTACCGGAGAAAGCATCTTTGGTAGCTTCAGTAGCAGCACAACGTCCTTCTCCTTAACAGCCGTTTCGCAGCTCGACTCTTCGCCAATCCTCGACTTTCATCACACTTCCGGCTCGTTAAACATTTCTGCTGGGAGCACATCGAAAATCACCAGCGATACAGTCTATCGAATCGGCAGCGTGTCAAAGCTCTTCACAGTTTACGCCCTCCTTCTGAACAATGGATCTCATCACTGGAATAGTCCTGTTACGGATTTTATTCCAGAGCTGAAACACGCCGCTCAGCATCCTCCACACGATTCGACGGTCGACTGGGTTCAATGGGATCAAGTCACCGTCGGCGCTCTTGCGTCGCAACTTTCTGGGATAGGAAGAGATTGTTTGTTTGCCCCTTTGTTTTACTTTTCTCTTTTGTCCAACTCTCGCCTTTGTCATCCTCGGAACCAATACTGATACACATGAATAAATCACAGACGCTTCAGGCGATTTAGCTGTTCAAAACTTTCCCTGGACAGAGCTCGGGCTGCCTATCCTCCCTCCTCAAGACATACCTTCCTGTGGCATCAATGATGATCAGCAACCTTGTGCTAGAAATGGTGAGTACTCTCTGGAGCGTGGCCCCTTTGTTCTTCTCTCTTTTATTCATTCTTCTTCTTCTATCATCATCATTGACATTACGACGCCAGAATACTTTTCAGGTTTCATCCAGAGACATCCCGTTTTCCCGCCCTATGGCACGGCTCTGTACTCCAATGCAGCTTATAGGATTCTCGCGTACGTGATCGAAGCCATCACAGGAAAGTCATACGAAGCAGTACTCCAGAAAGAAATTTTTGAACCTCTGGGCTTGAAGTACTCGAGCTCAGTGCCACCACTTGGTAGCGGCGCAGGAGTCATCCCCAATGGAGATGCAGGATGGAGCCGCCCGTATGGCGACGAGGTTGCGTAAGTCAAAGACAATTCCCATTTTATTCGAATTTCAGGACTAGCTTCTGATTTTACTGTTGGCATTGTAGTACGGGCGGTTTGCTTTCTTCAACAAAAGACTTAGCCGAGTTCGGACGAGCCATCTTTGGCAATAAGCAGCTGTCTTCGATGGAGACTTTGCGCTGGATGAAGCCAGGCTCACTCACATCTTCAACAGCCCTTTTTGTAGGCGCGCCCTGGGAGATTGTACGAACCCGCAGCAGCATCAAGACCGGCAGCCTCGTCGATCTCTACACCAAGTCTGGCAGCGTGGGAGCCTACCAATCTCTGCTAGTTCTCATACCCGATTACCAGGTCACGATGGCCATCTTGGCCGCTGGCCCCGACGCCGCTTCAGCATTGCATATCGCCACCGAGACTGCTATACAAACCCTTCTCTCTGCGCTAGCCAGCGCTGCCAAATCAGAGTCTTGCAGCAAGTTTTGCGGAGATTACAGCCCAACAGCCGCTTCAAGGGATTCTCTGCTTGTCATCTCCACCGACGACGGGCCTGGCCTTTTGCTTAAAGAGTGGACTCACCAGGGCCATGATCTGATCGCCGCCGGCCAGGCTTATTCGAACGCTACGCGCGGTGGCGAAATCAAATCCTTGAGACTATTGCCCACGGGCCTACGAAGCGGAAACCGGGTTTCGTACCGCGCGATAGTCAATATCACTCCATATCAGTTCGACCCATCGGTTGACTACGTCTTTGATCCACAAGCCAATCTCTGGGGAACGCCGGACCAGCTAATGTACGGTGGAATTGCGATAGACGACTTTGTGTTTCATTTGGATGACAGGGGACGCTCAGCCGCAATCGAGCCGCGGGTGTTGAGAGTAGCATATCAGCGGCTGTAGCGCTCTCCTCTCTAGAGCCTGATATATAGCCGCCGAGACTTGATTGTTTGCTTCAAGTCATTCATATGCCGCATGAGTCTAGAGCTCAGAAAACGAAGAATGTGCAGCAGCCTTGGTGGCCGATACCCCTGCTGCACCAGTTGATTCCGACGGATACATGTGCATGCTTGCAGGAAATAGGCAGATGATAGTTTCAAATGGCGGTTATCGATTTGTTTCTTTGTGCAGTAGTCAGTCTAGTTTATTCTGGTACATATGCGTGTGGAGATACTCCAGCGCTTTTCTACACATGGAGAAGAGTGCAATGCTGACTTGATGCCCTGGCTGCGTACATGTACTCGATATCTGACAGAAGATGAAATTGTATGCATTTTCCAGCAGCCTGGTTTCATTCTCCGCCCTGGGGCAACCAGTTGGTGGCGGAATTGCGCCATTGGAATTTGAAATCTGGTAACGAAGAAAAGCCAGGCAGACATGACACACAGCATTTCCTCGAATTCAGATGACCTACGGATACTATCATCCGCTTGATTGATTACATGCATCCCGATCCGCCGAGTCCAGCACATAATCCCAGCTACCCCAGTGTCTCCAAAGCACAGACCTGGTGCCACCATCACCAAGAGCTGACTCTGGTGCTCGGACATGTTCTATCCCCCGTACCAGCAAGATGATATCATGAGTGGGCACCGTGCTCGACGTGGAAGTAGCAAACATCAGCCACTTGAATAATATCAGGCCAGCCAGGCGGCCCATTCCGCGAGCATATGCACCTCTTAACCGCAATTGTCAGTTGAAATGAGAGACAGACAGGTTCAGAGAGAAAGAGGAGAACCAGCCACCGCACTAAGTCGTGTACACGAAATTACTGCTATGCGTTGTAAACAGCTGATTGGAAGCGCACAAGGCTGAACCGACGCCTGAGTGCGTCCCCAGGCTAATCCTAGGTGCGGCTACAGGGACCTCCCCGCGAAGTATTTTCTGGTTCTCTGTGCTATTCTTTTCTCCCCCTGCCTTTTCTTGCTATTGTTGCTTCTTCTTTGCTTTTTGACTCAAAAAGTTCCATGCAGCTGCATGTTCTTGCCATTCTCTCCTCTTCCCCAGCCTCTTGTCGCTTCCTTGTTTCTCGTTTTATGCAGCCATGGAGGGGAAGCAAACAAATTCCATCCAATAACGAGGCTCTCCATCACCGGAACTCGCCCATCCCACGCCATGCCATCCCACTGCTGCTTACTTACAAGCACCTCGATACAGCACTGTCCGTCACAAAGCCTGCAGCTGTCGTCCTCGACGCAAGTCATGCATGGAAACACACAGGTAGTCAGCAACGGCTCGGTGGGGAACACCCGCCCCCTGTCCCTTGGCAAATCCTCCGAGGGCGTATTCGTACAGTACGCAGTTTATGGCAGCTCAGACACACGCGACATTGTATTGTACGCTGAGCAAAAGTGTCGGTACGACAGCTCATAATCAATCTGTGTTGGTTCGATCGGGTAGCAGATTCCACGTAGATCGGTTATCAGCCGATTCGAAGCTTCAACATTCAATTATCTATCCCCATTCGGACTGCATCCCAGCAGCTGGAGCTCTCCAATCGGGACAAATGTAATTTCATGCATAATGAAGTGTGCAGTACCAGGATCTCGACGCGTTCGACATCTGTCTCTTCGCAATAGGCTCGCATACAAAAACAACAAGAGAGAAGTAAAAGGCCAGAATCGTGCATTTCAGAGCAAACATTTGTCTGGTTCTCGCCTCTCGTTCTGCAGCCAGTTAGGACAAATCCCGGTTTCAATTATGCCTCCCCCTTACATATATCCCACCATGAGGCCATGTCGGTGTGGCTTTTCTCTCTCTGCTGCTCAACGCTCAGCTCCAGCCGAACATTTAGCTAGTATTAATCCTCTGTAGTCCATGAAACTTGCTCCCTGCAACGAGACCAACCGGGTCAAGTCCCGAACAGCCCCCAAGCCCACTCCCACTATGTGCTCAGCGGTTGTGCAAAACTCAACCGCTGCCGCAACCGCCAGAGAAAAACGAGGCAACGCTCCGCCCTGCAATGTTCGTGCTAGCTCAAAGTCTAGGTTTTTTCAATTTATACGCAGCCAGCTTACTCATGTGGTGACACAATGCATGGAGTAGGCAGAATGCCGGCTGGTCTATCAGCAGCAACCAGGTTTACGGCGACCGAATTTATGGCCATATATTTCCAATATCACCGAATTGAATCCACTATTTACTGTCATGTCCTATCGGAATGCTTGCCTTCCCGTCAAATAGTAGAAACTCGCATTAGAATAATCGTTCTGCAGACACTGAGCTGGCGCTAATGGGACGGCTGCCGAACTCCTCCAAATAACTACAAAAGGTAGTGATAACGCAAGTAGGATGCATGCATGGAAGTGCTACTTTTCAACAGCAACCCGATCAAGCATTCCGTTTCGTTTAAATAGAAGCCATTCAGCAGCCCATTATTTTCTATTGATTCCTCCACTCTTCACTTTCCCTTCACCACTGACCGTATACGCAACGCCGCCTCTTTCACCCCCTAACGCGGCTCCTTGCAACCATAACCATAATCCCACGATCCTCAAACTTGGGACGAAATCTTTAATTCACTTGCCCTTCCAAAGCTTGGACAGCCTGGACAATTTCCCCAGTCACTCGAAAGTGAATGCCCCGTGAATTTTTTCGAAAACTACTTTCCCCCTATTTAGCTACAACAAGGCCCTCCCAATTTTCCCACTCGCCTTCTTCTTCACAAACGCTTGACTACTGTTTACAGCTGCACGCCTTGTTTTTATTCTCTTTCTTTCTGCCCTCGCTACTACATATTTCTCAACCCTACTCGCACAACACTTTGGCTTTTTCAACCTCATACACGCACATTTCTTGGTACGTCACGTTTCAGAAAAATTCCTGGAAATCTGCCAAGTTTCTACCAGGCAGGCTTCAACCTCATACGACACTAGGGTGTCTTCTTTCATCACTCTCTGCAACGAATGAGGCTGATTTTCCATCTGTAGCATCAGGCACCAGCTTTCTCTCGCATTCTCTCTCTGCTGTTTTTGAAGAAATCTCCTTCTTCCTCCTCGTTGTCATGGATGCCCAAGTCAACAACGAGCAGCCCAAGATGGGCAACTTCGTCTACGACGCTCCGAAGAGACACTCCATATCTCGTTCTCCTCCTGACAGCCTCAGGGGTGATCCCGAAACCCCCGACACTCCAGACGAGGCTGGAACCTTGTTCGGGGAGCCTGTTGCCACCTCGGGGGCCCAGGTCTCTTCTTCTGCTGCTGCTGGAGCCACTGCGGTTCTCAGCACTTTCACCCACTTTCCCGCCAGTTCTCTCTCGCCCGTCAACGAGATTGGCACCGCTGCCTCAGGCAGCTCGCAAGCTCGTGGCCGTGAGGTTCCTGGCCGTGATACTCCTCGCTTCATCGGAAGCTTTTCTGGTTTCGGCAACCAATCTTCGCAGATCTGGGCGCCTACCCGTCTCGACCAGGGCACCACTTCTGCTGCTGCTGCTCCTGACAACCAAGCTGCTGCTGCGACACACGCTCGCTGGGGCTCTTTGGACGCCCACATGAACCAGAGAGATGGCTTCGTTCGCCGAGAGAACCCCATTTCTCGCCCATCGCCCTTTGCGGCCTACCAGACTCGCTTCCCTGCTGCGGTCAACACGCCCCCCAACGTGTTCCGCCCAGTCAACTCCCAGGGTCTCACCCGTCAGCCGTCTGGCTATTCCACGATTGCGCAGCAGTATTCGGGTCCCCGCTACAACCACGAAGCTGGAGTCACTGTCATGAATCGCCGGATGTCTGCTGCTTCCAACGTGGCTGACTCTTCGTTTGATCTTTCGGAGCTTCAAAACTCTCTCTTCAGCTCTGCTGATAATGAAGCCGCTGTCAGCCAGCCTCTTGGAATTGACATCCTTCGCCTCTCTGCTCCTGGAGCTGCCCCCCTCCGCCAACTTTCCTCCACTACTCGCCCTGCTGGCCCTGTTGGCCCTGCTATCCCTGCTCGCCCTGCTGCTCGTCCTGCTCAGGTGTCCGCCAATGCCCCAACTGGAGGCTTTCTGCCCATGCAGGCTGTGATGCAGCAGACTCCCTCTCGAGCCTTCACGGCAGACATCTCCCCCTACGGTCCCAGCACGGCCACGTTTTCTTCTCGCTACCACGGCATGCACACCGAGACCAATGCCAGTGCCGAGCATCTCGCTCCTGATGAGAACTGCGCTCTCTGGCTGACCAATCTCCCTGAAAGAACGAGCATCCACCAGCTCCTCACGAGCATTCGCAACGTCGGCCGCATCTGGTGCACGTATATCAACTACCCCGACTTCAACGCTCATACTACGGCAGCCGCCAAGGTTGTCTTCTTCACTCCCGAGGCCGCCCAGCAGCTGCTCAGCATCTCGTGGACCCGAGGCCTCTTCATCGAGAATCACCGCGTCAGGGTCTCTCACAACCGAATCAAGTACGGCAGTCACGCCGTCGCTGGACGCATGTCTCGCGTCCTCATTATCACCGGACTCGCCGAGTTTGTCAACGAAGCCTCTCTCACCAAGTTCTTCAAAGACAGGTTCATCTTCCAGCTCGACGAGGTCACCCAGCTCATCAGAGCCGGCGGACGAGCCGTCATGGAGTTCAAATTTGGTAGCTACCGCTGCCAGTCTCAAATGGGGAAGATGTCCCTAGAAAAGGACCGCCCTTATGGCCTTAAGAAGGTCGAGTTTGGCGACGATCCTTGCGAGGTCGGCGACACCATGTCGTCGTATGGCATCGCCGCCGAACGCATCCAAGGCCGAGGCCTTTGAACGAGTATGAGCATCTGACTTTTCTTTTTTTTTTCCCCCCATTTGTGCAAAAGACATGTTTGTATGGTATTTGGAACTTGAGACTCGGAACTATGGAACTATGGAATCGTATTTGGAATTAGGAATTTGGAATTAGGAACCCAGAATTTGGAGTTTGGAACGTGATGGAAAAAGTGTCTTTGGGCAAAATTTTGCCTACTCAGGATGAGACCTTCGCACGTTCGCCGTCGATTTGGTGGTTTACTGTTTTGGCGTTTGGTGGAAATCTCTTGCCCGACACAGAAATTCGGGAAGCACTTCAGAGGAACGCACATTTTAGGAATTCGTATGTCTTTTCAGGTTGCTTGATGGTTTTTTCAGCAGACACGTTAGTTAGTCAGAATGCAATGCTCAGTTTATGAAATCTATCTTGATACGTGAAGAAAACCAAAAAAAAAAAATGCCTTCCCGTCAGCCTCGTCCACCCAGCCACGTTCCTCTCTTTTCCCTCTTTCTCTCTGTCCGCCTCTTCTCTGCTCGCTTCTTTTCCGCCTCTTCCTGCCTATCCCTTTCTTGCCCTCTCTTGACCATATCAGCCTGCAGCATCATCACCTTTCTCTCTAACTGGCTCTCCGTCAGCCATCCCCTACCTCCATCAGGCGCCGTATCCTTGTCCTCCGAACCGCTATATGTGCCTTGTCCGACTCCTAACAGGATGCTCAGCCCCTCTGCTTTCGTCATGAGCCAGTCGCCGTGTTTCAGGCCATCTCTCCAATGTGACGGAAGCACTTTGTAGCCAAGATATGCACCGAGGAGAGCACCGGAAAAGCACGCATTCGTATCGGCATCGCCACCCCGCATGATGAGATCGGTGATGAGGGTCTCGAATATAGACGTTCGTGTGGAAAGACTGCTGTCTGCGGCAGCAATCTTTCTCATAGCGAGACGCAGCAGATGAACGCCTGAACCAAAAGTCTTGTATGTGTATCCAATCTTGTACATGTCGTCGAGCTCGAGCTCAGTAAGGTCGTTGGCTTTGGCGTGCCTGTTCAGCTCCTCCACGTCTAACTCTGGCTCGTCTTTACAACTGGCATCTTTTTCGATTCGGCGCAGGCGGTATGCGGAATACCATGCGATTCCCTTGTCAACAATGTCGTCAATATGCTCCTCCTTGTAAATCTCCTGCCGCACAAGGCCTCTGATGAGCGCTGTGCCGATGGCACATGAAATGATGCATCTGGGGTCGACATGCGTGACGACAGAATAGTCGGCAGCAACCTGAAACGTTTCGTCGAGAGTCTTGTTGATGCACATGAGTCCTAGCGGGTGTGTCCTCATGACGCTTCCATTGGGCGCAGCCTTGTATTTCGTATGCTGCCAGTGTTTCCTCGCAGTGCCTTCTGGATCACTGAGATATGCCTGATTCCTAACAATCGCGCCCACAGTGTGCCCCAGGCCCAATGGCAGAGTATCCAGCGCGCGAAGGCCCATTCTAACCCAGACGTGCAAGCGAGAAGCAAAGTCCAGCGGATCCATTTCCTTTCCATCCTTGTGCAAGAAGGAGAGCAGTATGCACATGGCATGGTCGGTGTCGTCTGTCCATTCTCCAGGGACATTGGGATTCCGATGCGCGTCTCGTCGAAAGGGAGTGGCTTCAGATGGAGGACAGAGGGTGAATTTCTGTGATAGATATGCGAGACGGGCCGAGTCTGCAGAGAGAAACTCGGTGTATAGGCCTATGGCATCGCCCAGGGCCGATCCAAAGAGACAGCCAACGATGCGATCGTGGATTGTCTCTCTGGCCATTTCCTCGAGGGCATGTCGTGGTAAAGGCAGGGCTGTCATGATATGTAGGAGTTGTGTTGAACGACTGATTGAGAAAGAGAAATTGCTGATGAATGCAGAGTTGCAATTTTCAGATTCTTCTGGTGGCAGAACAGAGTCTTAAAGTAGACGAAACTCAAGATCTCCAGATGAGACATGAAACTGCGTTGCCGCCACACCGTCACAACGCCCAGAATGCTACATCAAATCAGTCCATGACGGCAACAGCAGCTACCAGCACAGCCTCTTTCAGCCCAAGCAGCTGAGCGTGAGCCCAGACCATGCGCTATAAAGTGCACAGAGGAATAGGCCCGTCTGGCAGCGATTCTTCTAACTCTGAGTAAGGTTAAATACTAGGCAGACTTACTACTAACGGCGCAGCTGAGATGCATCTTTACTAGGCGGTACTAGGGCGCGGCTTGTGACGACCAAGTGCCGTTTGCCTGAATCCTTGCACCTGGTGCCTGGGTTTAGGCTGGGCTGGGGGATGCCTCTCTAAAAAGGCCCACCTCCCGCCTCAGAATCAGGAACAGGCAGCCAGGGGCTGAGTGACATCAAGAGCACATTTGCGAGTTTTGTATTTCATTTACACGTGTTATTGTTTGCCTTGACAACAGTTGCTGAACAAGGATATAAGATACAAAGGTGACAAAGAAACAAAGAATGAGGAACAACTGCCTCCGGAAATGGTATCTATCTAAATGCACAACTCATTACAGCTCTACAGAATAAACAAAAAAAAAAAAAGTCTCTCCTCTACTCCATTTCTTCCTCTCCCTCGAGGACTATCTCATGCCCGCTGCCATCATGCATGCCTAATGCCGTCCCACACGCCAACGCTGACATTGCGGCAACTCCCCACCAACCCCAGGCCACCATGCCGATATCCAGCCCATAGCCGTACCACCAGCCCCCCACCACCGGGCCGACGGTGCGGAAGAGCGCAGAGACACTCTGGCCCAGGCCGTGGATCGTGCCCAGGACGCTGGGGTGCGGGCTGCAGTTGTTGAGCAGGATGATGCTCGCCGGCAGTGTAAACGTCCGGGCCATGACCTGGAGGAACAGGATGCCAACGATGCCCAGCCAGATGAAGCCCCCTGAAGCGGGCTCGGGTGCCGGCGACCAGGATGGCAGTATCGAGAGATACGGGGCGACGAAATATGCTAGTGGGAAGAGGAACAGAAACCACTGGAAGGATCTCATTGTGCCGAGACGGGCCTGGATGGGCGGATACAAGGTCACCTGCAGCAGCATGCCTATTATGCCGAGGAAGGACGTCGCTACTCCAACCGTCGACGCCGGCATTCCCAGCCCTCCCGTGAACAGCAGAGGCAGATCTCGGCGCATGGGCTTGGGCGTGGGGGTGTCCATGTCTGGGGCTCTTGCAGCCGGAGTGAGATACCGAGGCGTTGACAGGAACAGCGCCCACATGTTGCCAAAGGCGCCGAGATGGAAGTCGTAAAAGGCCCCAGTAAGCAGCGTGAACAAGACGTTGCGCGTCCAGAGCAGGCGGAAGGGCAGTTGTTTCAGCGAGGGCGCGGGCTTTGACAGCGGTACATTCTTGTCTTCGAAGTTCTCCATGGTGTGGTCTTCCCAGGCCGGAACGCGGGCATAGTCGTCAGATTGCTTTTCACCTAATAGGGCGGCCTTGATTCTATTTCCGAGATGGAGACCGGCGTCGAACTTGTTCTGCCGCACTCTGGATGTCTGCGTGGCTTGTCAGCTAAACTGCTCTTTTGTTCTCAAAACGTCATCGCAACACCGAGAGAGATATTGCTTGCATGACTGTGACGACTCACTTCTTCTAGAAAGAGAAACACGATCAAGGTTACAATGGATAAGCTGACGGCGTTGACAAGACTCGGCAGGGCATATGGATAATCGCGAATCCACTGGAACCCAAAGACTGCATTTTCTCCAAAAAGTCCGGGAAGCGTCTTGTTTGAATCGGCCAGCATGCCTCCCATGACTGAGTATACGTCAGAACTGCTTTCATCAAGATGAAACAACTATAAACTAGTGGAATCTTGGCTTACTTGGGCCCAGAATGCCAGCAACGTTGAAGCTCATGGGCAGAATCAGAAACGCTCGCGACTGATACTTCTTCTCTTTGGTGATTTCGGCAATCATGGTGCGGCTGTCGTTGCATTATTCTCCGTTAGTGACATCTTGTCATTGCCCAATTTCTCCGAAAAACACACAAGGCAAAGTCAAAACTCACATAATGCCCACCGTGCCGTTAACCGCACCGCCAAAGACCCTCCAAAACGCAGCCCAGGCAAAAGTCGTTGCAAAGCCGTAGCCCAAGCACGATATAGCCGTGCCGGCGAGGCCAATCACCAGCACCCATTTGCGGCCACACCAAGTCGCATCGGCAGCTTTACCCCATAAAATGGCCGTCATCACCTGCGCGCCGGTAAAACATCCCTGCAGTATCCCCGCCTGCTGCGAGATGTGGGCGTCTGTCAGAGAGCCGTCAAACGTCTTGAGCTGGTAGAAGACGTAGGCTTGCAGGGAGGCGACCTGCAGGAAGTCGACGAAGCGCGAGAGGAACAGGATGAGCAGCTGGTCTTTCCGCGGCAGAGACATCCACGTCACCGGGCCTGACGAGCTCTTGGCTTGGGCCTTTTCCATGGGCGTCACGGGCGTCAGCGGCCGCAGGGACTCGAAGTCGAAGCTGGAGCCATTGGAGTTGCTTTCCTCGTCGACGGTGGGAATCACGGCCTGGCCCAGCTGTTCGTTGGGAGACCAAGTCCCGTCCGGCAAATCGAGAATCTTCCGAGGCCGCAGAGGATCCAGCAATGCGCCGGAAGCAAAGTCGTTGCTGGCAGATCTGGCGTGCGAAGACGCCATGACAAGATGGATTAGAAGTGTTTAGGAAGAATATAAAATAAAAAGAGGGTGGCGAATCATAAGACGGATAAATTGAAGAGAATATCTTGCTGCAAAGAAGAAAAGATAAGATAAGGACAAACAAACAATTGGCTATATACGAGGTTACAAAAAAGAAGAAGAAAAGAATTACTGTGGGTGATTAGTTGGCGATGCCAAAAGAAGCTGCAATGAAACAGTAAAGAAAGAAATGCACCCCGCCACCTGCATGACGCCTTTGCATCGGACCCGAAACGCCCCGTCCACCGGCCATTGTCTTCTGGTTCCGGCTATTTTCCTTAATTTTTCCTTTTAATTTTTCTCCCTTCTCTCTAAATTGGAAAAGTAAAAAAAAGTAGGTCTTGCTATGCTCGGACACGGCGACTGAGAGACGCGCAAACCTGGCTGTGAATGGGAACCAACAAGTCGATCATCCAAAGACGGCAATGGGTTCAGGATGGATACACGCGAGATTCCGGCAGAGGTTTTGCCAATCAAAGGGAGCAGTACGGCTGGGGGAAAGTCTTGGCATTTAAGCTTAGGAGAAGTGAGGCTCCGCTGGCTCGACATTGCGCGTATTGACTGATATTCATCAGGAGAATGGCGTGTGAGGTTGTGGTGATGGACGGTGTGGACACAGCAACTGTGCTGATCATTTGTGGGCTTCGGGACATCGGCGATGCTTCAGCTGCTTTTGAGAGTCGAAGCAACATCAGTCTCACAAGGCGATTGTCATCATGCTGTTTCGTAACATCTAACAGCTGGTTCAAGAAGATTACAATGTGTATACGTTACATCTTTTCTCTTCGTCGCTTTTAGACTGACTATAGGTCTAAAAGCCCTCATTAATTGCCCAGCATCGCTAGCCGTGCCTCCTCACTTGCTGTTTTCAACCTCTCTTCCTTCTAGAAGTCGAAGAAGCGAGAACCCGAAACCCAATGGGGCGTATTGACGTCAAAACAAGGCGTTGCCATATCCATCAGTGCACAGTTCGGGGCAAAGATAATCAGGGGCGCCACATGTGGATAAGAGCAGGAACGTAAGCCTCTAGTCAGGAGAGCCGATTATCGTCATAACCAAGAAGAGACGGGCCCTTGGCGACCAATCAGTCTCTAGCATGCCGTTCAACGGCTACCACAATAGGAATTACGGCTTAGCTGTGCTGTATGCTAAACGTTCAGCCGTATTCAGCAAGCTGACCAAAGAATCTACTCACTTACATTCATTATAGTTACCTTCCCATATCATTCTGGATCCTTTTATCTCGCTTATGACTTACGCATTCAATACTCATCTATTCCCGCTACATGAAAGAGCTATTACCACGCAAACAGTGACGCAAGCCTGTTTTATGTCCACGCAGCAACAGCGCATCAATTGGCTCCGCCATAGACGAACAATCAACGCCCACAGCTCACGCGCAACGTGTACAGGCCGATCTAAATATTTCTCCTATTTTATGAAACAGAGAGCAAGATGAAATATCCATTCTGCCACGTAAGCCATTGTTGTTGAAGCTGCCGATCTCCTTGCGCATGGCCTATACAGTGTGGAACTCGGTGGCCGACGAGCCGATGGCGCTTCTTGGCTGTGGATCATTTCTATGGAGTGGGCACTGCCGAAACTATATTCATTGTCATTGCAGCTTTTTTTATGCGGTCCCTGATGATCGCTTGAAGAATTTGACGATCAATATCAGGTTCTCTTTTCTGGAAGGGGTCGACATGCTTGTCTATCGCTATTAGCGTTACTTCTTTTAATATACCGAAAACAATACAAAGTATTGTCTAAAGAGAATACCTCTGTTGAATCGATGCATTTGTCTTACACAACAGAATAATTTCATCTTTTTCGATGTTCAAACATCCAACAAACAAGACGCAAAAACAACATCTGATTGCGATATGTAGCCTTCAGCCTGATTAGTATTTGCCGATATAAGCAGATTCAGCGGTATTTGTAAACAGGGATGCCCCGAATCTTTCTATGGATCCCACCCTCCTGTAACATCGTCTCCGCAAGGCGGGCACCAAGAATCTCAAATCTGGGAGCAAACCATTCGCGCTGGATATCGCTTTTCGGACCGTGCGATGCGGACGAACAAACACATGGAAGAGACTCGCTCATGCGCTCACTAATGACTCGATATTGAGCATGCTAAATTAGCGAGCGAGACGACTCGAGTTCGAGGCAAAGGAGATCCCTGTAGTGCATATACACAGAAACGGCAGTACGGCTTCCAATGCCCAAAGAGGAAGATCGCAACCATGAGCGCCAGAATCTCTACCAGTAGTGCTACTACGAGTGTCCACCTTCAGGCTGAATAACCTGATATTCCCGACCCGGCTGCAAAGTTGTGACAAGAATCCCCAGTACCGGGATCCGCAGACAAAAATATCTCCTTCGAGCAGCATATGGCTTTCCTCATTAGTCGTAGACCCTTTGTAACGGCGATGTAGACTATAATTGTGCCTATAATTGCCTCTGCTCCCACTGCATGCCGAGATAGAAGTTCTGTTCGATTTATTCCTTTTCCTCTTTTTTTCCTTAATATCTGCCAGAGGTTCTTGTCACTCACTTGCTCCTCGTTCGCCCATTCCTTGTCACTCCTTATTTGTTCCGGACAAGCGTGTTGTAATATACCACTTTGATTGCTCGACACCTTCATTTACACCATAATAGACCAAGCAACACAATATACCAACACAACCGCTAAAATGGCGTATTCTTCCAACTACACCCCTCGGCCACGAACCGACATCTTCACCAGCGACACTGACATCAACCGCCGTAAGCTCGGCCGTGTGGTCCCCATGAAAGTCCTCATCCTAGGCCTAGGACGCACCGGTACTGCCTGTATGTCAATTCACATATGAACCGATACGATCACTCTTTATCTTAATCCAATACACCATTGCATAAGCCATGAACCGTTTCTAACTCCAATTAGCTATGCGAGCGGCCATGAAACAGCTCGGCTACGTCGACACATACCACATGATGAACACCTCCATCGAAAATCCCCCCGATGCTCTCATGTGGATGGACGCCCTCTGCGCCAAATACGACAAGAAAGGCAAGCCCTTCACCCGCGAGGACTGGGACCAGCTCCTCGGAAACTCCCAAGCCGTGTGCGACTGGCCCGCCATTGCCTTTGCCAAGGAGCTCATCGAGGCCTACCCCGAGGCCAAAGTCGTCCTGACCAACCGCGACGTCGACTCCTGGCACGCCTCCACCATGAAGACGGTCTACTGGCGCGTCACCGACGGCGAGCTGCGCTGGCTCTCCCACTTTGACTGGGCGGCGAGCATGTACTACCCCATGCTGAAGAAGTTCTTCGACACCTTTTTCGAGGGCGATTTCCCCAACCGCGGCAAGGACGTCTTCCGAAAGCACTATCAAGAGGTGCGAAGCCTAGTGCCCAAGGATCGCCTGCTGGAATACAAGGTCACGGATGGATGGGGGCCTCTGTGTGATTTCCTCGGCGAGCCGGTTCCCAAGGAGTGCGGGTTTCCCAATGTCAACGATAACTCGGACTTTGTGACGCGATCGCGACGCCGCAATCGCAATCAGATGAAGAATGTCGCTTTCCGATACTTTGTCAACCTTGTTGTTGCTATTCTTACGGTGATTGCGATGTATCAGCTGGGAGTGGCGCTTGGGTTGATTTGAATCAAGCAGTATTGCTCTTTCAAGCCTGTTGTATTCATCATTTGATGCTTCGGTCTCAACATGTGTTTGGCCGTCTTCCAAGGGATCGCTTCATTTCAGCGCGGAAGCTTATGGTCTATATCAACGATGTTATTGAGATTTGGTTGAGGAAATATACATTCCGCGTCTGGCGAAGAGTGGCCTCGCTGATGCTTCGGGAAAGTTTATTTGCTATGTTGCGAATTGGATGGATTTTTCTCTCATTTAGGAACGGAGTTTGGGTTTATTCATTGAGCCGGGGAGGCTCTGGAGGGTTATCATAGAAGTATAAGCTGGCGATTCCAAGCCATGCTATCTCTTAGAAGGCGTTACAGGTCTATTACTTTTCTTATAGAATGCTGTTTTAATATACATGAAAGTCTCTGCGTGCAAGAGACAACGTCGTCATATTTTGTCCGTAAATATAGTATTTCTTGTGATGCTATTAGGCAGTGTGTCGATCGGACCTGACTTCGCTATCGCTCTTAGATGACCATTTACGCGGACATAAAATACATCATCTCGATGTTTGTATCCTTTTCTTAAGATTCAAATGCCAAAATAATACTCACAGATCAATAGGAATTTTAAAAAAAAAAAAAAAAAAAAAAAAAAAAAAAAAAAAAAAAAAAAAAAAAAAAAAAAAAAAAAAAAAAAAAAAAAAAAAAAAAAAAAAA